TTTACAGTAATCAATGAATCATCAAGGACTGCTTTGGAATGTGCACTGCGTTGTGACTGTAGTATTAACAAAACAGTTAAATTTTAAAAGTGCGGTTATGAGATCTAAAAGATCTTCTTATAATATGTATGACTCTTAGTCGCATTGTTTTCCAATTCCTGTTATTCCTGTTGGAAATTGGCAACTATATTCATTTGGCACCTGTGACACAATCAGAACACAGTCCACCATGCGTTAAGGTGTTTGTTTCTCTGTCCTAGAAGTTAGTAATCTCTGGATAAGGGAGCAAATGTCACTGCCATGCACTGACCAATACAATTAAGTTAATTAACCAATCGTGACTGCAGCTTACCCTTTATTTGCACCTGTCTTCACATCTTCCACTATTCTGACATTTTGGACATAACCCATACCACCAAACAGAATTTCAAGTTGCAGTTCGGTCATCTACAAGAAGAGAGGGAAAACAAACCTGCAAATTATGTTTAACTTTAGGCCTAATGTGTCTCCAAAGACAGTCATTGCGAAAAATCAGTCTAATTGTGGAGTTTTGACAGTGCATAATGATTTTAGCTAATGTGTTGACTGTTCTACTGGGAACCACAATCCCAGCCCCCTCCCCACTGCTGCTGCCTCTATCCCTGAGACCTGATTATTATTATTTTTCTGAGGCCTGAATCATTTAATTTTCCTATGAAATATCAGCCCAGATAATGAATTTTCAAGCAAACCTTAAAGTGTTTCTGTGTCAAGAACTCCATCTAAAGACAAACACAGCAACTAGTGTAAGATGCCACCATTTAAAAGGGGGGTTTGTTACTGTTTCAAACTTTTTGAATTTCATGTTGTAATCTCAAAAGGTCCCTGCAGTGCTAGTTCTGTTGAGATCATCATTTAATCAGCTTCTAGTAATATACATGCAAACATTTCAGCACACTGATTGGCTGAGGGCACATCAATTAATCCATACCAATTCTAACATAACATGGTATCTCCTGTCATATTTTTTTTGGCTCAATACCCTAAAAGGTACCGCAAAAGCTCCCGCTGTGGACTTATTGAGGCTGAACACTTTAAGAGTTACCAAAACTGCTTTTTTTAACTCCTGAAGGGTATGATGAACACCCCGGTCCTTTTTGTATGGGAGTCCCCATCCCGGGACTTCCATGCGTTCATTCAAAACGCGTGTAATGTAGTGTTCTTGGTTAAACGATCAAAAATCACTAAACGATAAGACGTCTTGANCCCCCCCCCCTGGAGTTGCATGTCAAATACTTGCCCTTGTTCCTTTCAGGGGTTGACAATCATTTTTTGATACCGGTACACAATCAAACACAGTGTAAAGCCCTGATCAAGCAGCACTTGATAGTAGATGGTAATTGATTCTCCATTAACTATCATCAACTGTCATTCACATGGTCAAATGACCAAATGAAGTTTGTGATAGTTGACCATATGGTTGCACGGTTCACAAGCGGTAAAAATAGCAAATCATAGATCACGGATATAAAAATTTCATTTTACCATATCACAAATGTGTAACTCAACAAAGACAGAAGAAATGCACTTTTCAACTCATTATCTACAGCGTCAACCAAAAGCTAAAATGAATATTGCGGGTTCTGAAATTAAGACAAGTACCAATGCGTGTGATCTTGGTGTCACTCTCAATCGGTACTTAACGACTGATGTCCTCTCATGTTAGCAACCTTTGCAAGTTTGCATCCTATGCCATTAAGCATATTGGGATTATTTGGCAGTATCCGAATCAATCAAGCACGGAAAAACTGATACACGCCTTTGTGTCATCTAAGTTGGACTTTTGTAACAGCCTCTTGTTCAGTCTCAGGGAAAAAAAGATCTCCAAACTCCAACGTATTCAGAACCCAGCTGCCTGACTAATCACCAAAACAAGCTAAGGAAAATGGAACACGTTACTCCAATTCTCTGTAAGGCTGCTTGTGCATAGACGTATCACCTTTAAGATTCTTCCCATTACCTAGAAGGTTTTAAAAAGCCTCACTCTTAAGTACTTGACCGATTTGTTGGTTTTACATCAACCAAATAGGTCGCTCAAATGCCACTGACAATCAGCAACTGTATAGGCTGATGTTTAGGACAAAGAACTATCATGGTGGTCACGCTTTTTCATCTTGTGCACCCACGCTTTGGAATGACCTTTCGTTAGACTGCGGAGTGCCCCGTCTGTTGATATTTTTAAAAATAGACTTAAAACTTTTTTATTTAATCTTTGAGCATGTCAATCTAGTTCTTTGTTTGCCTTTTATCCTGGATCCTAAATTATTACTATTTTTGTAAGAGTATTGAGATTTTACTGATGTAATATACTAGAAATAGATTATTATTATTAATTTTAAAGGCTCCTTATTTCAAATCACATTACTAAATCATTTTTGATACACAACTCAAACCATTGGGAGGACTCGCATCTCAAAATCATGAAGACTAGAGAGGTGAAAATCACAAATATCGGTTAGTAATTCAAGTTCTTCACGGGTCATGCAAAAAAGGAGAGTCAAGAGTGGGACATTTAAATTGGTGGCAGAATTGGAAGTTGCATGAACTTAGGGCAGCCATAATTCTAACGAGCCTGCTGGGAAAACAGCCAACCAAAAAACTATCATGAACTATCAAACACATGGTCAAACTGAAAAAAAACTATCATTGACAGTCATAACGAATTTGAACAAGCTTAAAGTGAATGATAGTTGATGATAGTTGATGATAGCACATGATAGTTGGTGGTCAAACAGAAGTTTGCACAACAACTATCATCAACTATTGTTGACTATCACAAGCCTTTTTTGGCCACTCTGAGGGCTTAATAGTTACTTTGTGTTTGAAATTTTCACAACTTCTTAACAGTCATATTATGTTTCCAAAACAAGCCACAATTAAACAGGAAATAGCTGTCAATAAATTATTTTTGAAATTGAACCAAATCTAGAACCATACCCAGTGAACTGGATTCTCATCCCGGGGGTACTCCCCAAAGTTTTTGGTGGGGGTGTGTGACCCAAACCTTGAAACTTGTATCCTATTTCAGAGCAAAATCTGTAATTTTCCAGCAAAAAATAGATACCCATTTCAGACCTCCAAAATTAGCACAGTTGGCTCTGACTGCAATAACGCAATGACTACAGCTAACCAGAATTGGCTTGCATTTGTATAAACCTTTGAGAAGGGCTAAAAAATCTGCCTTACAAACAAATTATACCCAAATATGCTAACCCAGAGTGAAACACATACCCTATTTCAGACCAAAAAAGTCAAAATTTATACCCTTTTTCAGACCCAAACTGCTCAAGAACCATACCCTTTGGGACCTTACATAGCCATATAGCCCCCCCCCCCCCCCCCCCCCCCAGGATTCTGGGGTGTTTTCCAAAATTGCCGACAAGCATCCCTATGGCTGTCACTTTTAGTTTCTCCTCTTTGGGGAGGGAAGGGGTGAGGGTATGTTCTCAATAGCTGATGGTAAAATTTCTTATTATTTATCTTACCTTATTGGGTATGCCACGAACAAACACTCGATTTAAAACTTGAATTCCATGTTCTGTCCATACTTCAAGAGGAGATCTAGAATTATGTGAAGAGCTGTCATACTTGTATGAAACCTGCATCCTGTATAATAGGAAAAAGAGACTTGTTTGAACTGTGAGTAAAAAGGAGCTAACTATGTTCCTAAGCAGCTTATTAGGCCAAAACTTTTAAAGTTGTGGGCTCATGCTAACAAAATTAACAAGAATTATCAGAGTTAACTAGTTGTTAATTCCATTCAGACTTGGGCGGTTTTCTTTTATCTTCTCAGGGTTAAATAGGGCTATACATAGTTAAAGATCTTTAAATATTTTGGTAATCAGCTGGAATGGGTTTATTGTCACGTTCCACTCCGTCGCGTTATTCAACCCAGTCTCTTTCCGAACAGCACTGAAAGAACGCGTGACACGATTTTTCCCGGGGAAAGGAACTCGGAACGTGATGGCGAATGCTACTTTTATCGCGACAAACTTATATTTCCCTGGACAGAATCACAGATATTTATGTTCAAAGAACATTTCCCTCTTTAGTAGAAAGCAAAATGCAACCCGCGTCTGATTATTCAGCGTACGATTAACTGTTAAAATTCTGTACAAAGAGGTTTTAAAACCTATATTGACAGCTTCGTGCAGCAAAATACATTTTCTGTTCTTGTGAATTTCGTAAAAAATATATCTCTCACCAACTTCTTTTTGTAAATTAAAACATAGCGATCAAATCATTTCCGATACTCCAGAAACAAAACCAATATATTGCAGGCACAATAGAACCAATAAAGTCGAAATAGTGTAAATGAACATGAAATACTTTGTAACCCATTTAACATCGAACTAGCGATCAAATCATCTCCGTCACTCCAGAAACAAAACTAAAATATTGTAGGCACAATAAAACCAATAAAGTCGAAATAGTGTAAATGAACATGAAATATTTCGTAAGTCATTTAACATCGAACTAGTAGAATGAACAGCTGTTGAAAGTAATTAACGACATTTTCCCGCCAAAACCGCATACAAGTTCCAGGTTTTGCCCAATTTGCATGGCAAGGACATTTCGTCCGAATTGGAGACAACAAATCCTTGCAAGTCACCGTATTTTGTACTTTATTTTGCCTACTTTTGACTGATTCCTTTTAAGAGGTGATTATTTGAAACGGAAATAAAACAGGGCTAGATTTTTGCAGCAAAGATCTAATTTATTACACACTTACCCAGACGATCCATCCAAAACTGATCTGTCTCATTTTTGCGAATTTTATTTTTGTTTTCACGCAGTGGCACTTCTTGAGGAAAGTTGTTGTATAAAAATGTACAAAAAAAAATGATTTGATTACTTACTTTTTACGATGTAAAAGCCCTCGACGCACCACCTTAACTCTTCAGTGCAAACCGTGGAAATGCCCAGACCAGATAATTCCCACAGATGTCGTAGAAATAAATTATGCAGCACGTGAACTTACAATTCAACTTGTAAATTTATTCACGCCTTTTTTCAATCAAAAGCAGTTTACTTTCTCATCTCTTGAATGAAAACAGTAATTATCATGTAAGTTTTTAGTAATTCTTCGACTAGGTTGTTCCCTGCATCAAAAAGAAAACAAAGAACACTTTTTGCGCCGTTTCTCTGTTTTTCACTTCGGCGTGCTCAAAATTCAAACCCCTGTTCCCGGGAACGAGGCTAATGTGACGTGAGACTAGTGGGCGCGATAAAAGTCCAGTCCACCTTTTGGTTGTCCCAGTGTCTGTGAGGGTTTTTGTACTGTCTTTACCCCTATTAAACGGCCACCCAAAATTTAACACACGTAATTTAGCTTTGTTTTGGAAAAGGTGGTGACAAGTGGTGACAGATAAGAGTTGGAAATAGGTGACGAGAGACACACGTTTATCAAGATTATCTTGGATAGGGGGTGTGTCTACCCTTGTTCCGCAAAAAAGGTGGATGTGACGTGGAGGTCGCGAGGTACCTGCTGTATAACATTTACAGTATAGTGGTATAGAGCTACAGATTTTTGCCTATCTCAAACGAAACTTAATTCGCTGACCAGAAGAAGGCGGGAATAATTCGACTTATTTGAGATTCTCTCTTGGTGACAAAAAGGCAAAATGGCACTCCCAGTGCGGATAAGAGTCAATAAGGGATGCAGGTGCCTGCAAGGTTTAATCCTTACACTTATTGAGAGTCATATTAAGGCTGATCTGATCGCTATTTAGTTTTAAACACGTCCACAACAAGTTGAGGCTAAGTCGCGCAAGTTTAGGCAATTTTATAATGAACGGCCACTCATAAAAATATCCAACTGAAATATTTACAACAAAAACGCGAAAGAGACACAAAAAAAGCCAAAAGGGACATAGATGGGTATAACTGGAGAAAAAGGAGCAGCATTCAGTGTGGTGAATTTCTTCAAGATATCCCGATTTGGACAGAAGTGTCACTGATTTCAGTGACTTGTCGTGCGGCCGTGATTTTGCCAATAAACAACACTGCAGAAGTTAAGAGCTTAAAATTAACGAAAACAAACAAAAAAAGCAAACAAAGCAGTGGAACAGGGTCTAGACAGCCACGTCTGGTGACGTACCACGCATACATGTATCAAGCAAAATGCTTTTTAATAACCCTTAAAAGACTAAGCAAGTAAATTATCATTCTGGAAAAAGCTAGCCTTATAAAGCAAACGTAACTGCGAGATTTAAGCCAAAAGCCAAAAGGGGACATAGATGGGTATACCCGGGTTTTAACGCAAACTAAATTTTTCTCGTTGGTCATATCAAGTTTCTGTTCACTTGTATTTCACATTTCTTCAAATTCCTGTAGAGTGGATTGCAGCTCCTCCGCTGCTGCGTCGTGCTCTTCCTTGATTTTCAACAGAGCAGCTGAAAAAACAGATTGGAGAGTTAGTCAGTAGTTATACAGTCAACGTTTTCTGAACCTTTACGGCAGAAGGTAGCTTGTAATTATTTTGCTTGTTTGCAGCTGTTATTGTCTTAGGGCTAGGAGCATTATTTCTGTTGTTTGTTCTATTGTCCTCTCAAATGGTATCAAGCTATTCTTGTGAGACCTTACGAGAGCTCATGTACCCGACCCATTTACGGGGATGTCCGCCCTACCGAAGAATCGAACGGGCCCGACACCTGTGTGAAGTGCGTACAATAAATATTCGCATCCCCGGCCTCTGTAGATATGGGTATCAACAACGGTTAGTCTTCATACCCATACACATCAGGCGCTAGGCCGATTATCACAAATTTCAGGTCGTTCAGTAAGTTGCTTGGTAGTTTAATAGGATTGTTACTGGGGGTAAATTATTATCTGCGCTTTCATTCACACTTCCCTGCAACTTTTCTCATTGGGTACTTCCCACCCCCCACCCCCCCTTTAGTGGCTCCCCAGGGATTCTTCCTCCAACCCACGTGAACCGTTGACCTCTGGAATGAAGTCAGCCAAGGACGGACGGGCGATACTGCGATTCAGTGGTGCGAACCAAGCCTAGCGACGTAGCCAGCGACAAAGTAAAGCCTTAAGGTAAGGTATACATCAGAGCCAAGAAAAGATCATTATTTGTTCATACCATCCACTGCGTCAGCTTCCCTTTCCAAATCCGACACTTTTGCTTCCGCTTCATCAGCCAACTTCACCGTCTGCAACGCAAAGATGCTGGTTATTGCATATTATTGTACAAAACATAATACACAAAACGTTCTCAAAAGATGTAATTTAATATAAGTTACACCTAATCATTGTTTTTTCACCAGTTTGGGTCGCCGCGCAACGGGACGGAGCAAAAACAAATCGTGTAAGGGGAGCCATTGGTAAAAAATTCAAGCAGGTGCAGAAAATTTCCCAACGACTCCTCCTCCCTCAAAAATGTAATGGTCCATCCCTAAGTGGCAGGTAAGAGAAGGTTCCTTTTGGCATCAGCATTTGCGAAATGGGAACAAACATAAACGTATCTTACCTCATTAAACTCTTCTTCGATGCTCTTGATTTTTTCTTCAACTTCATTCAAATGACAGCGAGACTGCGAGAAAGTCAAATCAAATTTATATAACACGCAGTCACGGAACTGGAATGTTTGCCTGACCCTGGATGTCAGTCACAGTTCACTATGAAAAAGCTTGGGCTGAGAGAATCCGCGCGGAGCCTGGGGTGGAGGAGGACACAATAAACGAGTATGACGAGAATGTACGCAATGGCGATTATTATAAGTCGAGAGAAGATGACAAACGAGAAGCCATCTCTGCAGCTATGTTACAGTACAATCTACAGGCTTCTCTCAAGAAATAACTGCCCCCGGAATGGCTTCTTTAGTTTCACATGTTTACTGATGTTTTCATAGAGTTCTATAAATAGTCCAGTTTCGAGTTCGCCGTGACCGCTGATTAAAAGTACTGAGAACGCATTTGCACAGGGTTAACCTCGACTTAAAAAAAATATTCACAAATTCCAGCGAGAAGATGACCTGTTTACAGCTCTGTGTATTGTTTAATTTTCAAATTTGTGGCACCTTCCCGCCGGTATTTGTGAATATTTTTTTTAGGTCGAGGCTAACCCTGTACAAATGCGTTCTCAGTGCTTTTATTCAGCGGTCATGGCGAACTCGAAACTGGACTACTGTCTCTTACCCTGCAGAAAAGTCACTGGTTTTGTATTATTTGACTAGACTATTAGATTTAAAAAAATTCGCGCCTCTTTTTCATCCAGTCAGAAGTAAAACCAAAACCAATCGTGGTTCGCTCGCACACGCTTGCCAGTGCTTCGGTTCAGCTACATGTATTTACTTCAAGTTTTGATTGGTTTAATGGATCGTTTGTGACTGTGTCCTTTGTGATTGGCTATAGTGATGACTTTAGTTTTGGTTTTAAGATTTTCAATAGGTCACATTCGATATATGAATATTCGAACATGGCTCCGAGGTGCTATATTTGGTATTGTTTTCTTTGTATCCAAATCTCTTTGGGGAATTGAGAGACAACAGCAACTTAAAAATTTTTTTTTGTCCTGAAAGCCTCGGCGCCATATTAGAATATTGATATATCGAACGTGGCCTATTGTGGCTCGTACGCATACTCTCGGTCCAGGCCATTATCACAGACAGAGACGGTTGGTCAATAAGCGTTATGAATACCTTATCAGTCTGGATTTCCAGTGAACGTAGGCTGTTGCCGACCAGATTATTTTCTTCTTCCAGCTCTCTAACGCGTCTGATTGTAAAGGAGAGAAAAATAAATCCTCGTTTGTAAGAGGCTATGGAGAATGAATACAGGCTATGGGTTGGTTAAAGGAGCTAAGAACAAAACCAATGGACCTCTTCCCATTTTTTCATTCAAACAAAAGTAAGCCTCGCCGCCCAGTTTTATAGTAAAGTGCGAAGTTTCGTGAACTTTAAATTGCGCAGTGTCTTGTTGGTGAAAAGAACGCGGCCTGCTTTATTAACATAATATTGTCAAACAGCTCTGTAAACCTTACTCGTCTTCTTCCTCAGCACGGGCTTCCAGCTCTTCGAGCTCCTCTTCTGCGGCGGCAAGCTGAGCTTCCAACTACAAATAACATATAGCAAAAGTACATTGGAAAACATCCTATAAGAACTTTCAGTGAGGTGATGAGCGGGTCGTATTAACATTCACATCTAAGAAATAGAGAGTGACTTATCTAATAGTTTTAGCAAAATTCTCACAAAAGTTCCGTTACAACAATGATTTAATTTCCAACTGCATCTTCAAGCTTTATTGGACTTTTGATAGGCTTCGACGAAATCGCGCTCCACCGAACTGTCATTTGAAACTTGCATCTGTGTACGCGCGCTTATCAGTTCATTGAACAACTTTAGGCTCTAAAGTCGTGTAGCAGGAATGCCTCTCTTGAAGTCTTCTAGGGAATTTCATATCCAGGGTCCAGTTGTTCGAAGGTCGATTGGCGCTAACCCACGGCTTAATTTTCATCCGGGTTTCTATTTCTTTTGTTCAGAAGCATTTTATCCGATAATTTTTTTTACCCTTTTTAGAGCATCCAATCATCAAATTTTACACAAAAAGAGCTTTCATATCTGAATTCAAATATCGCACTAACCTTGGGTTATCTTAACCCACTTTTGAACAACCCGGCCCAGTATTATAATCCATCAAATATTGGTTTAAACGCGTCACGTGACTGAATATGCCCCAGCTAAATCTGGGGAATATCCGAGTGACATTCCCCAATTTTCAAAACTGCGCGTGCTGCGATAAAGATTTGAAGGATAATAAACACGATAGCCTTCATTTAGCGTGAAAATATGCTTCGAAATTTGTCTGTTCCTCAAAGCTCACAGCTTTCCCCCGGGAGGTACTCCCTTAATTGGGCTATGCGGGGCCGTGCCGCTAGACAGGGTATGGTTTTTTGGCCTCGCTGTCCTTAACAGGGTATACAATTTTACTCGCCTTTGTCCTTAACAGGATATGGTATTACGAGTCGAGAGACGTTGAGGGGCCATTACAAGGTAATCAATCAATATCAGATCATTTTCTGGACAAGAATGCTATTGTTGTCGGTAAAAAAAATTCCACTTATCACCATTATTACAAGAACGCATTGACAGAATAGATCCTACTGGTAGGTCTAGTTTCTTTGTGTTTCTGTGTCCTACACAGGGGGCGTGTTAAGAGTATTTTTGTCCTAAACAGGGTCAGGATTTCAAAACCTCGGCGGCACCCCAATGCCCAAACATGGATCAAGTATACCCCCGGGAGCTTTGCTCGGCCTCGAGCTACGCTCTCGGAAGACTGTTCGCTTCTCGGAACAGACAATGTCCGCGGACAAATATGCGAGTATATTTTCGCGCCAAATGAAGACTATGGTTTATATATTTCTAAATCTCTCTTCTAAGCTTAGTTGAAACGACAATATTTTGTCACTATTTTAACGACCTCCAGCCACTGCCCATTGATGGTTGACAGTGTCTGAGTAGCTTAGCCAATCAGATTGCAACATTTGCATTATTACTAATACCAGTAGAATTCCATTAATGTATGATAGCTGAGCCAATAAAGAACAGAACTAACACTAGCGCTGACGTAATGATGGTCACGTGCAAGTAAGGAGAACTTCAATGGTCGAAAGAAGCGGGTGATTTTCCTTTCTTTTCTAGTTCTAGCTAGTTCTGTGTTCTGGCTCTGTGTTAAGCAACCACTCAGCTGTGTTCTATTGAAAATCCTCAAATCTGATTGGTTTTCTCATTGTTTTCTATTCAACAATTAGTGAGCTCGAGATTTCTATCACGCATAGAAATCGAGAGGGAATAATCTAATTGTTTTTGTGTAAATGTACTAGTCGTCAAAAGCTTCATCTAAATCCTCTTCACAGACACCTCGAAAACACAAAGAAGCGGCCGCCAGTTTGTTAACAAGCGCACACTGTCTACAGGAATAGAAAATGAGTAGTGTAACCAATCAGAGAGAACGCTAGTAGATTTATACTAATCGCCGATGGACAACGATCGCACGCGAGCTGCTCTTGAAACTAAAAATTATTCTTAATTTTAAGCTTAAAAATACACAAAATTGTAGCTTTCTAACAGTAATCCTTTGAGGTGTCTACTAAACAATTAAACTACTCGCCCTCGCCTAGTTAACTCTTGGCTCATAGACCTCATAGAAAGCTCGGGCTCAAGGTCGGTTAAATAGAAGTAAAACTTTCAGCAAGCGTTTTATTACAGGCCTTTTCTAAATTCACTACAAACACGGAAAAAGAGCAATCTGGCCTTTAGACGATTAATTACTCCCGCTAGGCTAAATTGCACTTTTTTTTCTCATCACAGGAGCACAAAGTTTTATGTTTTTAAACAATTTCTTACTTCTTCAATTTCAGCTTCTGCAGATGCATGCTTTTCTTTTTCTTGTTGCAACTTTGTTTCAAACTGAGTTTGCTGTTAAATAATAAAAATACAAATATAAATCAAAATTTAAAAAATAATAACTTAACACTTGCGTGACATGCATGACCACTTCGTCACACAACAGTCCAAAACAAAGACGAGTGAAAAATGAAGAGAAACAGTTTCATTACTCGCTCTATGTCTCCCATTGCCCTGTCTTCCAGCACCTTTCTCACTCTGCAAAGAAAAAGCATCTTAAAATTATAAAGGAATGTTGGTGTTATTAGCCCGATACTTGTCACAAATCATGAAAACCCAGGTACATAGGAAGCTTTATAAAGATAAGTCGGCTGAGGCCGGAGCAGCGAGACCCAGTACCTATTTCTTCTGTTTGATGTTCTGTTAGTGCGCTTTGGTCTGACACTGACGGAACTCAACGATTTCGTGTTTCGTCGCTGTCAATCATCATAGCGGACTTCACAAGAAACAGGGCTAGAAGTGGCCCTTGTGGAGGGGTGGCCGTTATGAGGAGGTACGGGTGAAAAATGACACCTGTTTTTTTCGGGGGGGTTACAACATTCTTATTTTTAAAAAAAAAATGCTCAGTAGAAATAGAGAAGTAAGATGATCAAAATAGAGTGGTTTTCAATTGAGGGTCGAAAGGAATCAAGCAAATACTTTGGCTTTGGCTTCTGTTTTACTACGGCTAGAGAACGGACAATTTGCGAAACTCAATTAAAAACCGCTATATATCACCGACCAACGACACGCAGTACGGATCAAGATTGGTGACCTTTTTTAATATATACTGTTCGTCAATAGTTGATTAGCTGGTCGTGGTCGAGAGGTTATTGGAAGTTGGTACACGCTTTAGTGGCCGTGGCCGTTGCCGTTGTGGAGAAGAAGACGCTGTAGAGAGGTTAAAATAAGAGTGAATGTATGGACCGTCCGCCGGGACACAAAAAAAGGAGCCCGTTTAGTTGGAGAGATGTGACCGATAGTGGAGGTTCGACTGTAAGTTTCAGCTTTCAAATTGCAACTTTAGGGAGACATGCTCCATTGATTCTGCAACCCCAAGATACCATCCACCCCGTACCCCCTTGAAAAATCCTGGATCCGCTCGTTTGCTAGTTCGAAGCAAAATATAGAGCGACAAACCATTTCTGGGTGTTTTTGTGAACTCCGACTTTCGATAGCAGTTCTGGCGGGAAGTGTGGGTTCGTGATTGACTCTTCTCGTCTAAACAGAATTTTAGCTCGATATCCATCATTACAATAATGAGGTGAGGCGAGACGTCTCAAGACAATAACTAATTGTATATTTTGCATGAAAATTGCAATTACTCTTAAATGATTAAATCTGTGAGGTCAACTTGTTCTCAAATTCCATTGGCTGAGACGGGTACGCCCATACCGTGCCAAACGAACCGAAAAATCAGCCTTGTTTCTGTTGATTTCCTTCCAAGTCTTTATTTCATAGTGAACAAACTGTTTTCAAAATTTCTTTATACCTAGAAAATGGAACTGACTCCGCGATATGAGTAAAACTAGTTAGTACCACATGTTTGGAGAGAGCAAAGAGTACCGGCAAGAAAAATTTTGTTTAGACTTAATGCTGACGGTCAACCCTGTGGGAATCAATTCAAGTCACGAAATGAGTAAACTTGAAACTCTGTTCTACGAGGATGTGAATAACTTCAAACTAAAATATAATTTTGTTCGAGAAATGCTTATAAAAGCTCCTTTCAAATTGCAATATAATCTCAGAAAGTTGAAGTCTCGCAGAATTTTTCAGGAATCAGAGACAGAGTTTTAAAGACGGAACTTTTCCTATCCTTGTTTATATTTACTCACAGACGCGAACAAGCGGAATGGGAAGGTAGTCGAGAGCTGTCGCTATAAAAGTAGGTAATGGCTTGAAAACGCCTTGAAATTCGTATGCAGAAATCAAGATAACAGGATATTCAAGGCTGGGTTGCTGATAATAGTAACATGCACTTGTTAAGGCGAATTTGTTATTTGAAGTATTTACGGTAAGACAACAAATATAGTGTAATACCTTCCGTTTTCGTCCATTTGTTGTTCGGCCTGTTCTAGTTGCAAAGTAACATCAGCCAAGCGCGATTCGGACGCATCCAGGTCATCTTCCACTTTTTGAAGCTCAGTTGTCAACTTCTGGACTTCCTTTTCGACCTGCAAAGAACAACAGCCATTATCAACGACATCAATTTTAGAAACTGAGCAAAGTTGTTCTGTTCATCTAATCCGGTGGCGTGAGGCGTAACTCCGTCTCAGTTACTTGACGTAATGGACAGTTTTCTCGAGAAAAAGAGAGTGGATGATTTTTTGCGGCATATTTTTGACTGCTGTAAGAAAGAACCAACATATTAACTTAGGGTAATCCCTACTTCAGCGTTTCTTTGGGTTGACTTTTCTAATTCTTTCTCGGCATTAATTGCCCGATCTTCTGTCTCATTCAGAGTGTGTCGAAGAACGTCGAGTTTCTTTCTGATGGTTTCCATTTTGCTTTCTAAATAAAAGAGCGTTCCAAAATCCAACACTCCTGACCAAGTCAATACGGCAGTTTAAGTCCCTGTGACCCAGATTTAATTATATTTATTAACCAATGCCATGTCAAGGGCGGGGACATGGAATTTAAAATATGCCAAAGCTCTCTTCTTCACTGCGTGATAGCTTCTTTCCTGAATTTTATTAAATTTCGTGAACTGCAAGTTGAAACTTATGTATTCGCAGAGCTATTTACCGAAAGCGGGAAGAACTGAAGTTGTTTTTATTGTTAGTGTAAAAGCTTTTTGCCTCGCTGGCACATTTCGAGGTGTGATTTTCCCTGGGGACAAGGCAGGCGTTATCGCATCTCATCTGTACTTTCAAAATGTCTTTTTATATCTGTTGGTGTTTAGAAGTTAACCATTTATGCCATAACTTTCCTTTCCCTCTGAGGTTTAAAATAACTATAAGAAGAACAACATCTGCATTTCGCTTTTAACCATGTCTCATGCAGGAGTTTGTTTCAGGTGAACAGAATACAATGCGTGGCGGAACAGACATGCTTGACTTTCATAACTTGTGGTCAGGCTACTTCTTTGAATCACACTATGCCTGTCACGCTACGTTTACGGTGTACTTTCATGGCGTCTCAGCCTCCTTCCCCCACCCCGGGGGGGGGGGGACTCCCTTATATGGGCTATATTAGGTATGTGCGGCCTTAAAGGGTATGGTTTTTCAGCCGTTTTGGTCATAAATAGGGTATCGATTTTAGCTGATTTTGGCCATTTTGGTCATAAAAAGGGTATGGTTTTTGAACTCTAGCCTTGATATGCAAACAATGCCTCAATATTTCCAATCAACTGGCAAATGAAGCAGTCCTCTTTCATGTTAACAGTCAATGAAATCATCAAAAATTATTTAGATGACCAAAACCATCCGCATAATACAAACACACACAATTACAATGAACAAATCATCAAACATAATTTACACAAACTAAAATCATCACATCTCAAATGATATGAAAAGACACCAAATGGAGATAATTCGGTCTAACAGAAAGTTGAATTTCTACTCAAGTTTCAAAAGAGATGTAAGCAAATCTGAGTACCTAGAACAAGTAAAGAACCTCAAACATAGACAAGCTTTGGCAAAACTCCGATCTGGTAATCATAATCTTAGAATTGAATCTGGGCGACACTGTACTCCTAAATTACCTGAAACTCTTAGAATTTGTCAGTACTGCTGTTCTAACCAAATTGAGAATGAAATGCATTTCTTATTTCATTGTGACCGATACAATAACATTAGACAACAAGTCACAAATGATATCATCAAGAAATATCCAACATTTGATTCCTTTAATAACACAGAGAAAACGATATTTCTATTTAACAATGCTGACACTTTTATTTGTAAAAAACTAGGTTACTTTACATATGAAGCACTACAAATAAGAGAACTTTGTAACCCTAGAACTTAAAATGAAGAGTCTTTTAACTAACTATGTTTATTTCTCTTTCTGGTTGCTATTGAAATTTGTTTCGTTTTTGAATTTTTATTTAGCGATTCTGTATTTACGTAACACCATCTATATAGGAATACCAATAAATTGTTGTTGTTGTTGTTGTTGCCTTGATATGTGTATGTTTTTAAGAAGAAGCCAGTTTTTCATCATTATCGAAAGGAAAATCAACAAAAGCCCTTCACAAATTATGTCTAACATTGGTCTGAACTAGCGAACTAATTATAACGCAGGTCTGAAATAGGGTTTGGATTTAAGGGTCAGGTCATAAATAGGGTAGGGAAAATCGCAGATTTTGCTCATAAATAGGGTAAGGGTTTTGGGAAGCGGGCCGCACACCCCCACCCAATTTTTCTGGGAGTACCCCCCCGGGCCCCCACCACATCCCGCCGACCTTAAAACACCTTTGGAAATATTATGTTTTTCGATGGTCTGGTCAAGTACCCTACAATAACTCTCTCCCACTCTTGTTAGGCGTATGCAACTTGTCGAAGAAAGCACATATCTGTTCTCTTTTCTGCCATGTTAAAAACCTTCGAAAAACCTTCCGAGCAAGACATGGGTTTACGTCTGGCCTACGGGGAGAATATTCAGTGTAGTCCTACATAACGAAATTTATCAATGGCTGAACTGGGACACGTTTCTCGAAAGCCTCCAGAAACTTTTCGGGCCCGAAAAGACATTTCTAGTTAATCTGTATCTAAAAACAGAGGTGCCTGAAACGTCTTGTATGAAGAGAACCTCTGGTCTATGGTTAGCCAAATGTTGCAAAATTCAACAACTTGCACCTTGCCGTCACGCAATATGCGGGTCTCAAGCTGTGACCGACCTCTGTATGTGTTGCCTGTCGGAAATAAACTCTGGCTTAGACTTGTTTGTCGCTCTTTCCTTGACCATCCCTCCTAGTGTACGTAGATTTTGCCGGCGAACAGTTCTCTATGCCATTAAATAAGTTTTTTGTTTCGGGGACAAAACCAAAATAAATATAAATAAAGTATAGACAAGGCTAATCTTTGGATACAGGGAAAGTCTCACATTTGTTTATTTCTCGCTCTTTCCTTAACCATCCCTCCTATTAGATTTTGCCATTAAAGCAATTTTTTTCTTCGGAGACAATTCTATAAAAAATGCAAATAAAGTAGACAAGACTAAGTCCTTTGAACACTGGGAAAGTGGGATAACCAAATCCCTGGTGATATGGGTATCCCTTTCCAATATGCTTGTTTGTTATCGTTTCTTTAATTCAGGGTAGCCAAATCGACGGAGGATTAAAAGGCAAATTGGACTCCACTCAGTCCTATTACCATTATTTATTATTATTATTATTATTATTATTATTATTATTATTATTATTACTACAACAAAAGCGACTGAATGCAGAAAACAGAGAAAAGCAGCAGAAAATTCACGGGAATAATAAGTACAAAATTAAAAGCTTAGCACTTTGCTTGTAAAATGCTGGAAAGTTGTTGCTCACTGAAATGCCTAAAAGTTGCTAAAAAAAATCTCTAAAAATCGAAAGATTTGCTACCTAAATTTAAAAAAATGGTTCCTAAATTTCTTGATATTTTTATATAAAAATCAATTTTAACAAAGCTTTATTGCTCCCAAATATGGGCCAAATTTACGATACTCGATACTCCTAAGTCCAACGCAACAAAACGCATGGTTCATTTGTCGTTTTGCCGAACGTTGTCAAGTGACAGGTTATGTTTTCAAACTTTAAAAAGTTGATAAACATTCAAGAAGTTCGCATAAATTGAAGTTTCCTATGAAATCGTTGACTTTTTCGTTGTTAAGTGTTCCGACGATATTTTGCTCAAAAGTTGCTCAGAAGGGCAAAAGTTGTTAGCCGCAAAAAGTTGCTCCAAACGCCGAAAGCTGCTCAACTGTTGCCGAACACAATCGGGACAGGCCTATTCCAGCAAGACCGGTAAAATTTGTTTACTTTGCAACTGGGCTTTGTTCTTTTATACTTGAGTGAACTCGACAACATAATCTGTAGTCTTGATGATGACACCCGCGTAAACAAGTAATGCACCAGTCATTTGAACCCTTTCCCCCAATTGAGGGATAACCGGTACAAACGGAGGATTTTCACCTCGTTTCCACTCGATTTAATGGGTTCCCCAGTAGTCAGTGAGTGCACCTTTTTTTCACAGGGAATGGAGGAGCAAAATTTGACCTAGTCAATTATTATTTGTTGGATCTTTATCTTAGTCCCCTTCTGGTTTCTTGGGATGTCTCATGTCACACAACGCTAAACCCCCAAATATTTTGGCGCTTTTGTCACGTTGTCCGGTCTTTTGTTGCCCGCGGTCAAACACAGAGTATTGTCAAAGTAAATTCGCTACCCGCTGGGTTTAACCGTTATCGCTTGCTTACATAAACAAAAAGATCCGTTAAGGCAAAAGATCCGATCCTCTTTCCTCTATTCTGTGTTGTAGCTTTTCTCAAACCTTGAAATAGATCGAGCAGCAAGGAAACTAAGGTGACTGATAATGAAAGTCGAGAACTTGGCGTCGTCATTCTCCTCCGAGACCGACCTCCCGGAAGCGTGAGAAAGTACGCCCGCGGAAAAAAGTGCCTCCGGAAATGCGGTAAATTTGGCCAAAGGGTGGGAAAAACACCGCCAAACACGAATAATAATGTTCACATTTTTTTTTTCACTTCGAAAAACAAAGGAAAAAAAAGGCAAACAGACAAACAAAATCAGCAACAACAACAACAGCAAAACACACACAAAAAACAAACAAGGAAAAAATCCCGTTACGCGGTTTCTCGTTACGCAGTTACGCGTTTTACTAACAAACCGTATCATCCAGTCGACAAGTAACATGCGAGGTGATTACATCTCGGCATTACGCGACTCGTTTGTTGTTTATTAACTCATATGCAATGTGGCCTCATGGAATAATTGCTTTGCCAATCAAATCATGTTTCCGAGCTGAGCCACCTTTACCTGTTGGAAGGCGAAACAAAAAAAAAAGCGCGCGGAGAACAAACGAAACAAAGAAACAAACGGGCCTGCGCGGCCTCCCACTCCCCTAGGAAGCCCCTTGTGGAGAAAGTTATTTTTTCATGTACTCGTCTCATACTCCTTGCTATGCTCGATGCAGGTAAGCCAATGAGCGTTTACACTGACATGCAGTGACAGATCTCAAATGCAGTAAATCATGTAAAATGGAGCAGTGAGAGGGACTGGATATAGCTGGTTTTCACATGACGTCACTAAAATTCGAACTACAAAACTATTGATCTTCCTGAGATTTTACTTAAATGATGTAAAAGAGCAGCTGTAAACTAATATTCATACAAATTTTCGCTCCGAATGGGTTCTTGGTTTTTCTGATACACTACGCTTGAATTTCTAAGCTTTTGCGTGACGCGGCATTTACATGACGGCCTAGAGAGCTGTCATGATGGTTAAAAAGTGACTTATT